CGAAAACCAGGTCTGGATTATGGTATCAAGAAAAAAACTGTAAGGTGGTGCAGTTTGTTAGCAATACTTCTAGAATTGAAGAGATAAGCATTCTGATTCCTGGGGGAGTACCGTGCCGAGCTAGGCGTTTCCCGATGGCTGCGACTTTTGCGCTTTGGAAGCTCATCGGCACGCCGTAGCTCGCCACGGTACACCACCCATACCCGACTTTTTAGCTGCTCATTGCGCGAGTTGCACTCCTCCCGCAGCTGGATCTCCTTTTTGCGAGGAAGGCGCTAACATAAGCATGATAGGATAAGTTTGTAATAATGGCAAGGGAAAAAGAAACTGCATTTCAAGGGTTAGGTGATTCCTATTCCATGTTTCATGACTGGAAACTTCATCTAATCTTACATTCCCCAATGTTTGGATGCTGAGTTCTCTGTGAATTCGCCGCGGAATGCTCCCCACATCTTGCCCACACTCCATCCAATTCTTGCCTCTGATCGTCCACCCTGTAGCTTCCTCCACCCTTAGCCCTCCCCCCCCCCACTGTTTAGAGTGAAATTATTTGATGGCAGGAAGAAGAGAGCTCACTTTCGCATGAAAATATAATTATAAGCACAATGCATCCTAACGGCTTCGTATTATTACCTAGTCACACTAAAGGTGGCAATAGTGTGGTGACCAGTGGCGCTGCTTACAATGCGTGCGGCTGGGACGAATCTCGGTCGTGCGCCGTCCGGGCAAATCAAGCCGTCTTGGAAAGCTACGATGCCTATCAAAAGTTTTTGACAACATTATACGTAAAGTATTCAAAGATTATGGGCTGACCTAATAAATAGACAAGGACCCCACTTCTCTCGGGGTAGTCCTCCTACTAGCCAGGCCGGGGCTTGCCTTAAACTATTGGCCTTAAACTTACATATCTGAGCGAGTACTGTTAGTTAATAAAGTAAAGCTTCTTTTCAGCGACAAACCTTTTTTAATCTAATGGTGCCACTATACTGCCATCGGGCATGACTGCTGGGAACTAAGCATCAAATGATGGTTTCCGCATGGCAAACTGCGGCTAGAAACAGCAGTCAACAAGCGAGAACCACTTAAAATTGTGAGCAGATAAGACTTTAGGCGTCGTAATTTACTTCAGCTGATTGACTCATCACATTTGACGTATGAGTGTTGATGTGGTAAATACTGTATCATCAAAACCTGATTTGAAATGAAATGCTGCCCCACTAGTGTAACTCCCTTGTAGTACACTTGCCCGGTAAGAGAGTGGTGTGAGCTGGAGTTCCGTC